AATCCTTCTGAAGGCGCGACCCCGAAGTTGCGAGTCTTACCTGGGCTCCGGTCGAAAGGGCTTGAAAGCTTGAGGCTTGGTGGGCTCGAGGCAGCGGTCGCCGGTGGGTTTGTCTCCTCGAGCTTCTTATCTTCCGGTTAAACAGTTGCCAGCTCTCACACCCGACGACCTTTGAACTTTGTCTGTTGTCTCCCACGCTTCAAGAAGGACGAGCGGCTGCACCTCACACGCTTCCTGGCAGGCGACGTACGTGTTTTCTGTCTTCTGTACAATCTCCAGATCGTGGCTGGATGGATATGTATCGAATGACATTTCAAATAATTTGAAATAACATTTTATGAACGTGAGAAAAGAATGCGACCCACAAATATCTCGTCGCCCTCAGATGGATTTGGTGGCGTGCGTGAGCAGGATTTCAACTCGAGGTCACGCGCGTGTGGCAAATCAACGCGGCGCTCCTCTCTTTGGAATGTGGTGAAACCCAAGACGACGGGCGGGTCTGGATGAAGGCCACGCCCGGCTTAGCTCTTCACAATAGCCGGCGTCACCGGGCCATATTTCGCGCGACAAGCCTCCGTCGCCACATCCCCAGCCGGCTCAACGCCTAAATATAAAAGCGTGCGCAAGCTCGCGGTTGACACTTTTGCTGGTGTGTGTGTGTGTGTGTGTGTGGGCGTCGTGGGAGAGCTGCGGTCAAAACTCGCACGGTGAGAACGATATTGGACTCCCGTTTGAACTTTTGAACTGCTTTTTCAGACGCTCCGTTCACAAGACGCTGACTTGGCCTCCTCATCGCCGTGGCGACCGTGATGGGCAGCATCATCATTTCAAGCACGCGGGACACGCGATGATGCGCGCCGCCGCTGCTCGTTTTTTTTTTTTTTTTTTTTTTCTTTGCTTGATAAATAAACAAATAAATAAGACTTAAAAGCCTAAAAACAAATCCTATAAATGACCTTGACGAAAAAAAAAAAACAAAAGCCGAGAAATAATCACAAAATATGAGCTCCAAGTCTGAAAATGCGACCCCGCCCCCCCAAAATCATCACATCTGAAAACCTAAAAAAAATAGTCCAAACTGAAAAATGACAAAAACCACCAAAAAGACGAAAAGTGACCCCACCCAAATCCCCACATAGAAAACCTATTGAGAGAAAAAAAAATGAGGAGGCTCCTCAACGTTTGTTTTGGTTGCAGCGAAATGAACGAGTTGGACGACGAGGACGAGGAGCTCAACGCCGCCGCCATCCAGCGCGACATCCACCATGCCTGCCGCCAGACCTTCATCAAATCCGCCGCCAGGTACGCACACAAAAACTTTGGACCGCCTCAGACATTTCCCATCCGGACAAAAAAAAAAATGCAAATACAGTCGCGTAGGAGGCCTTCGTGTTCATGCAAAACAAGGCAGAGGTTGGATGCCTAAAAAGCACATTTTGGATTATTGATCGCCGCTGAAGCACAGTTTCAACATTGACACTATGCCTAAATTTCACGATTATTTTTTTTTGATGAATTGGATATTTGTCAGCTGCAGCTTGACCCCAAAAACATATTTATCTATTGATTGATTGATCCATGTCATATTTTTTGTTTTGGATATGCGTTTCTTTATTTTTTTCTGCAGTGTTTTTTTGTTTTGCACAATTTTTCATTTCCTCCTGAACATCGAGCAAGTGTTTTTTTTGTTGTTGTTTTTTTTTTAATGGCACTCTCTGCGTCCACTACTGCCAATGAAACGGTGAACTCAACTTGCCGTCCCATCAGCTTATCGGCGAGCGCCGAGGAGAACCTGCGAGTGTCGGCCGCCATCGAGCGAGGTAAGCGAACGACGAGCGGCCGGCGCCTCGCTCGCTCAGCTGAAGACGATGCTGTCGCCCGCGGCGACCAGGCGACGCGTCCACGCTGAGGAAGCTGCTGCTGAAGCGGCCGGCGGCTTTCCGGGAGGCCGACGCCGGCGGCTGGCTGCCCCTCCACCGAGCCGCCTGCCAGCCCGACCCGGAGGTCCTGCGGACCGTCCTGACACGTGAGGGCGACCGCCGCGACGACGCTCGAGCGCGACGCCGGTCAGAGTTCATCCTCGGGTCGACTCGCTCGTTCGCTGGAAAATGGCACTCGCGCTCAGACTCGTAAACGTGGATATGACGTTTGTTTTTATTTCTTTTTTTCTAACTACGCAGTCACAATTCGAGGGTGCTGTGTTCCGAGGAAGTGAGCAACACTCGCGTATGCATGAGTCACACGCGCGCCCGGCGACATATTTACCGGGTGCATTCCACAACCGCTTTTGCGCTTTGTGCCTGGATGACAGCGAATGAGCGCCGGAGTTAAAATAGCAACGGATTGATATTTTGGGGAGCGTGAGCGCATCCTCCTCCCGCTTGGGCTCACTCACCTGCTGTCGGGGCTTCAAGGGTTGACCTTTGACCCGTCAGTGGCAGGTGAGCTGAATCTGGACGCCCGGACGGCGGAGGGCGGCGGCGAGACGGCGCTCACCTTGGCCGTCAAAGGCGGCCGCGCCGAGAATGTCGGCGCTCTGCTGGAGGGCGGGGCCCGGCCCGACGCGCTCAACGCCAAGAACGAGTCGCCGCTGTTGCTAGGTAACCGTCGGCCCGCCGAGTGATGTGCGACTCGGGGACCGGCAACATGGCG